GCTGGAATCTAGTACAGACTGTAGTAGATAAGTTTGTACTTTAATCCTTAGGTGGCAGCAGCTAAAAAAAAGGTATTTATGGATTCTCTGAAAATTTTGTGTAGTTTAGCTTTGGAATGCACATGAAAGGCCTTTTCTGTGTCATACATGCCGATTTTCTTCTGTTGATTTCTCCATCTTACATAGGTCCTAACTGCACCACGTCCTCATTCAAATTTTCTAAAAGAAAGACATCTACTCAGCTAAGAGATGAATGAAATAACTAATGTGATCAATCTTTTCAGAAATAACTGTGGGTCTAAGCTGCAAAAAAGAAAAAAACAAGTTAGATATTATATAGTTAACTGTAAAAAGTATTTAATAATTCACTATTGGCAATTAATCCTATAAAGCTATGAATCAAAAAAGAAAAAAAATTTTAGGTTGATTCAGCTGAGTTAGCTGAACCATTTGGACCCAAACTGACATAGGCTATCAAGGATGTGATGACTTTTGTGTTTAGATCTGGTGAAGACTGCCCTTAAAGGATGGTTTTGAACATGGGCCACGGTATCACAGTGACAACACCAGAACTTCATCCTTTCTTACTTAAACCGTTCTCAAAAGAATTTGGTGCCCACATCCTGGAGGACAGTGAAACCCTGGTTTGCCGTTGTATTAGTCAACATTTTGTTGCTGTGACCAAAAACCTAGAAAATCATCTGAAAGAAGGAAAGTTTTACTTTGGCTTACAGTTTCAGAGGGTTCAATCAATGCCTGGTTCCAAAGCAGAAACACCATGGTAGAAAGACAAGGAAGAAGAAAGAGACTCACCTAATGGCAGCCAGGAAACAGGTAGGGCAACAGAACCAGAGAGGAAGAAGTGGAGGACCAACCAGAGATGACTCCCAAGTTCGCACCTCACTGAGCCTCTCCCTTCTCCTGTGCCCCACCTTCCTTGTCCACCATCTCCCAGTAATGGTATCAAATTATAATATCATCAGTGGATTAATCCACTTGATGAAGTAAGAACCCGCATGATCCAATTGCTTTCTCAAAATTCCATCAGCTGAAAACTAAATCTTTAGCACATGCCTTCGGGAAGGGTGTTTCAGATTCAGAACATTACAATTACAGTCATGGACTGGAAAGAGTGTAGGAGAACACAGAGTGGGTTCTGAAATGTGAAAAAGGAATGAAAGAGAGAGACACTGGCTCTGGCAAAGAAACACACAGGAAACCACGAGCAAAGATTAGTTTCCTGAATTCTAAAGTCAATCAAAGCCCACTTCCTCATATCTTCTTACTGCGTTGAGCTCATCTGCTCACATTTTCAAAGATCAGAGGTTGCAGTCTTGTGACCCTGGGTGACTTCAGTTAGTGATGAGAGGGGATTTCCAGCAGGTCCAAATCTGGCCAGGTGAGAGGAGAAAGGGGTAGGGTTCATGGTGAATTCCTGAAAGGGAGATCCTTCCTGGGACTTAGTTCAGATCTTCCTTTCTGAGACATAGACGAGATTTTCTTTTAGTCACTAGGTCAAGTGCTTTATCACTTCATTTCCCACATGATTTGGAGGTGGTAGTTAGGAAACTAGGGTGCAGGAAAAATAATATCTCCTAAGGAATAAAATCTCATTCTCTTCCCCTGGCTACTATCTAGGATTGTAGGCTACACAACTTTTCCTCCTGTTACAGTACCTGCCTGGGAAAGATGTTGTAGAGAGCTATGTACCAGTTCACTGACAGAAGGAAATGAGGCTGTAATTATCCTTCACTGACGATCTATACAAATCATAGCGCGTTCAGTCATGTGGATGAGAGTTCAACACACTGATTGGGTAGTCACCATCTCCACTTCCTTATTAGCCATGAGTGAGGGAGGTAGGGACCAAATGACATTTATCAACTTCGCAAGGACTGACTTTGACTTCTTAATTTATCTATGATGACCCAAATATCTTTGACGTGGAGAGACTGAGTAGTTTCCAGGAAGACTGCAATAATTTGGACTTTTTGAGTAAGGTGATATTAAATGCAAACCCAACCTAAAAGTGTGTGACTATGGGACTCAGGTACAACAATGCCTACTACAATTACAACTGCTTCTCATTAAGTACTTTGAAATTTTTGCTTGAAATTTGTCACCATGAAAAAAACATAACCTCAAATGTTTTAAATTAGTCTGCTGAAAATTCCTGAGTTTCCACGTGTTTCTAGTAAGGTTCTATTTTGAGATAATTTCTGGAAAATAAAGAAAACAAGAATCTGGGTAGCTCATAAAGGTAAGTAATATGTACATAATTGTGTGAGAAAAGCTAAAACATTTCACAGCTGGTCAGCATAAAAAAATGACTTCTAGGTTTTACTTTACAGATAACACCTGTGTGTCTTAAATAATACCTAAGTACATTATTCATTTGAAAACTTTATACCGTATAAAATTTCTGTGTATGAGAAAAATGAAAATCTAGCTCTTCTAAAAATTTATTCTTTGTAACATTAAGTAAAACTGTTTCTAAAGCACATATTACCCATCACAATGGATTGTTCTCCAATATGTCCTATTCAGGTAGCAGAGAAAATCATTTTATCAGACCTGCAATAAATTTCTCTGAGAAAAAAATCTGTATAATGTAAGTCTCAAGAAAGTTTTATTTGCAAGAGAACAGGAGCAATTGTTCTAATCGCTTCTCCTATTATCTGGGCCCTGATCCATGCTTGGTGCTCACTCATCAGCACAGCCTTGGGGGGAATGTGAGTTGGGATCATGCGTGTCCTTGCTAACGTGTGCTGTGTGTGTTGATGAGTGTGAGACTGCTTGTGCACGGGAGCATCAAGATGCATATTCTTCCATTGAGGAATACTGGAGGAGGTGAAGAAGGAGAGAATGGGTGGAAAAGAAAGGAAGAGGGTTGTTCAGGTGCAGCCTTACTCTTGTAAAGCAGGATTGATATGAAAGCTACAATAATAAACGTACTCTTTTGCTTAGTGTCAAAGTGAAGCCTTTGGTTTTGAAGCAAAGTCTTCTATGAACCCGAATTTGCAAAGGAAAGTGATACAGGAGGAAAAGATTCCTTTACAGTCTTTAAAGCATTCACAAGTGGCCCCAAGCAGGAGGTGACTGTCTCCCACTCACAGCCTCCCTGCATTCTGCTACCAAGGGAAAGGATATCAAGAGGCTCAGAAAGCAGCAGTGTGGGGTAGGAATCGTGATGTGGAAAAGGAAAACAAAACTGAGAGACTGAGGCTCTTCTATATGGGAGGTGAAGGGCAGGTGTTGGGCTGGAGGGGAATATTTTACTGTGAGATATTTCCTCACTCCTACCATTAAAACCACAGTTTTGGGTGGAGTGAGGAAATGACACTTTAGCAAATGGAAATTTGAGAAAATACTACATACAAGGATATAGAAAAACTATGAAGTGAAGCCGTACTGGAAACAGAGAGCTCAAAGCACCCGCAGGTGTTATTCTTTTGCTTTTTACCCCCTCTATATTTGCATTTTCCACTGTGGATTCCAAGTACTGTATCTATTGATACAGTTGGCTTCATCTCTGAACCACTGAATTCCTGCAAATGGTAACCATGGCTTAGTTTTCTTCAGAAGCCTCCAGAATGCCCGTGAAACCCTTTACACATTGGCAAATATTTGTTAGACTGGACAGATTCTAAGGGGTATTGTGGGTTGAGCACCAAATTAGGAATCAGGAGATTTAGGTTTCAGAAAAGTCAGATACTAATCCATTTTTTCTCCATGGGCTAGTCACTTTGGGCCATAGGTATCAGTTTCTCAGTGGTAGATAGACACGTGGTAGACAGTTGTCACCTTAGATAATATCCAAGATAATCTCCAACTTGTATTTCAGTGTAGAAATACATTCTTCCTTTAGGAAAATGTAAAAATTATATGTCAATTGAATTTGTGATCACATATTCTATGAATGCAGTGGAAGTTTCTCATTAAATATGCAGAAATAAAACTGTTACTTTGAATAATAAAGGAATGAAGTAGCAATTAGTTCACCTGAACATGATTACCAGTATATGTTGCCTTTCTACTGTAAAAGTAAAAATTTTAACTACTTTTATCCAATGCAAATTATTTCCTTGAATGGACACACAGTAATATTTTCTGGAGTACTGGCAGCTCATCCTAATCCAGTATGGTTAACATTTTTAAAATGTTAACAAAAGAACTTTTTGCAAAACCCCATAACTTTTAAAGAAATATATATATATATGTGCATAAATATCCATGGAGAAATTTTCTGAATAAGTAAGAATTTTCTCATTATATTTATAAGTCCAAGTAGTTCCTTTCCTTGTAATCTGTAGTCATAATAAAAGTTGAGTGCTTGATATTCACATTTGGGACTTTATTGTTTCTAACTTTTCTTTAAGGTATTTCTAAACATTTGAATAATCTGTATGAGCACGGATGACATTCATCTATTACATTTAAAGCCATAAATTTCAGATTCGGGATTCATGTGCAGTATTTTTGAAACAGAAGGAATGCTTCAGTAAGAAGAAAATTCAGGTGGGATATTGTTAAATTCAAATAAGATATCTGTCTGTGGATGAAAAAAACCATCAATAAATTTAAACCACTGTCACCTGATACCCCATCATGAGGTAAACAATGGTGAAATAGTTAAGCTTACTGAATCAAAGTTGTTTTAGAGATGGTGTTTAGTGTTAAATACTGGGCTCTCTTTCACTTACACTGGCAAAAAATAAAGTTTGCTCTGTGTAGGCACAAGACCATGACCACGGAGTAAGACGGTCAGCAGAAGGCTAAAAGCCTGGCAAGACAGAAGACTGCTGGAACCTCCATTGTTTTCCTCCTGTCCTACTCACCTTGCTGGAAGGACTGGCCTTAGGCAGCTGACCACCAGAGGCTGAAGGGTTAAAACTGAGACTTAAAAAGCAGCAGCTTTCAGCAATAGCAACTTCTTCCAAGATCCTGATGTAGTTCAGATTCCATCAGAGGCTATTGGGTGTTCAGGGGACCCAGGGGATTACTTGTAAGTGAGAACCAGATGTCAGGACACATTTCACGCGCCTCCCACATGACTGCAGGGAGTGCTCCAGGCAATCTGCATCTCTGTTGGGTGACTTGGGAGTTCCCGCCAGGGGTTTCTCTCCACTTTGGGGACCTGAAACACATCCCAGACCCTTACAGTATCCTCCCCAGGGAAGTGAGTAGCTTGAGGACCACAGGGGAATCCTTGCTATCCTTTGTATCAGGAAAGCATAATTTAAAAAAAAAAAAAAAAAAGGAAAGTTGTTAACTATTCCAGGTGTGTTGTTCATTGGTGCTGCCCTTGACCTAAAGAATGATTGGGCATGGAGCTCCTGCCCCTACAGTAAACTTTTAGCCATTTCCAGGAAGCAGTTAGAGTCGTCGGATTTTCCTTCTACCTTCTTAGAATTGATAATTAGGAGAAACAAAGGACAGAGTAAGGAGTAGTAGTGGCAATGGCACCAGAATACTAATAAGAACCAATCCTCCCCCCTCCCAATATTTTTCTCCTAAAAGAATTTCTGAGAATGATAGTAGGCTCAAGGCCTTTGGCGATGGAAGGTTATTTTAGCAAACATAGAAATATATGTGTATTTCTCATTTAATTATTATTTAAGCAGGAAGAAAAAGAGAGTGTGAGCACAAAATTTTTAAATCTTTCCAAAAAAATAAAAATAAAATATTGGAGTAGAGTTCCCTTCAAGAGTTAACTCTTTCTCGCCTTTCTAAAGCAGAGCAAGTTCCAGGGTCTGGAATTAAGTGACAGACCGTGGGCACTGGAAGGTCTCGCTTAAATCAGGGGGGCCGACCCGCCCCTGCACGCAGAGCCGCCGTTCCCCAGCCGTAGGCCGACCTGCCCCGGGCACCGCCGCTCGGGGCGCAGCGACGCGCCAGGAAGCGCCCGCGGCTGCCCCGCTGCCCCGCCGCTCCGCTGGTGGCCGGGAGAAGTTAGTCACCGGGAGCCCGAAGCCTGCTAGCGGTGGAGTTCAGAAGGGCGGCGGAATGAGGCGACGGGAGAGCAGGTACCGGGAGGGCTGGGAAGAAGCAAAGGGAGTGCGGGGCTCCGGGACGCGCCGGAGGCGGACCGCGCCGGCTGTGGAAGGAGCCACTGGATCTGCGGGGCCAGGGCGCTGCGCACCCGCGTGCAGAAGGGAAAAACTTGCGGCAGGAACTTCCTACCGAGGGCAAGGGAAGCCAGCGCGAAGGCGGCAGGGAGAGACTCGAAGCGTCTCAGTAGCTCTAAAAACACAGCAAACCATCCCTGCAGGAGGTGAGCTAAGCCGAGGTTAGCCAACCCCGATTGGTTGTGAAATATCCCACAGACCCGGAGTCGCTGTGGCTTTAAATGAGGCCAAGGAAATTTTTCGGGTTTTCCTGCCCAAATACTTTTTTTCTCCCCTCCTCGCCGTAGCTCCCTGCTTTGTCCCTCCTTCCCCGTGGTCGGGTCCCGGTCCTTTCCTCCGTCCCGGCCTGGCTTTCTGCGATCGCCCTCCTCCTGGCCTTTCACCCTCCCCCTCTGATTAGGCGCGGAGGGGCAGGGTGGGAGTGGTGGGGGAAGCTCTCCCTTTAAGAGGCAGCTTGCAGTGACGAATTGTTGAAATTGCCATTGCAGGATGGCAGGCCGCTATAAATGCATTGTTCCACCTCCTCGCATCTTCACAGCGCTCGCGCTGCTCCCTGCGCTCGCAGCGGCGGACTGGGGGTGACCGCGGGCAGGAGGACGCCGCAGCCGGAGGGACGCGGAGGCGCCGCGGGGCCAGCTCGCCGCGGGCCACCCCCTGCGCTTTTGTTCTGATTTTTAGGGCCTTTTCCCGTCTGTTTCTTCCTTTCCTCCTGCTTCCAGCAGAGCCAAGGAAAGCCACAAAATAAGAAAGGAAGTGCGCCCCACAGCTTGGAACCCCCGCAGCCGGCAAGCCCCCGAGCGACACGGGGCAGGAGGCGGTGCGCACCAGTTGCCAGCCCGGTGCGCGGTTTCTTCTCTACTTTTCTTGGTGCGACGACCGGACCGTGGCTGCCTTTCGCTCTTCTCCTTTTCCTATGTTTGCTGAATCGCCATCACCTGGCATTTGTCATTCTTTATTTTTCTCCTCTCTCTTACTCTTTCTTGTTTTCCCCCCCGTTCCCCCTCTTTCCGGACCATAAATCCAAACATTTTCTAAACCAACAAAGAAAAGTTCGCACGCTGGCATTGCGGCCAGGACAGCCTGGCTCTGCTGCGGGTCCCCCTCCCGCCGACACTTGACTCGACCTGCAAGCGAGTGTGTGGATGCCCCCCCCCAGGCAACTTCCTAGCGAGTAGCAAATACCCGTAAAGTCCTGGTGGCGCAGCCCCTCCCCGCGGGCAGCGCACTATGCTGCTCGGGTGGGCGCCCCTGCTGCTGTGCGCGTTCCGCCTGCCCCTGGCCGTGGCCAGCCCCGCCGCGGCACCTGCCCAGGAGAAAGCCAGGCAGCCTCGGGCTGCTGCAGCTGCCGCCCAGCCCCGCCAGAGGCAGGGGGAGGAGGCGCAGTTGCGGGTCGAGCCTCCGGGCCACCCGCGCGCCCTGGCGCCGGCGCCGCAGCACGGGAGCAGGGGGCTGGTGCGGAACATCGACCAGCTCTATTCTGGCGGCGGCAAGGTGGGCTACCTCGTCTACGCGGGCGGCCGAAGGTTCCTCTTAGACTTGGAGAGGGATGGCTCCCTGGGCGCTGCTGGCTTCGTGCCTGCAGGAGGCGGGCTGAGCGTACCCGGGCAGCACGGCGGCCACTGCTTCTACCGGGGCACGGTGGACGGCAGCCCTCGCTCCCTGGCTGTCTTTGACCTCTGCGGAGGTCTCCAGGGCTTCTTCGCGGTCAAGCACGCGCGTTACACCGTAAAGCCGCTACTGCGCGGGCCGTGGGCCGAGGCGGAGACCGGGCGCGTGTACGGGGATGGGTCTGCGCGGATCCTGCACGTCTACACCCGCGAGGGCTTCGCTTTCGAGGCCCTGCCACCACACGCCAGCTGCGAGACCCCCGCGTCCCGGCCTGGGCCACACAAGCGCCCCCCTGCGCACAACAGCCCGGGGCGACAGGCGGCGCTGGCTCCGCAGCTCCCAGATCAGCCAACTCTTTTGCCCGCTGGAGACCCAGGACCTCAGACTTGGTGGCGGCGGCGACGCCGCTCCATCTCCCGGGCACGCCAGGTGGAGCTGCTCCTGGTGGCTGATGCGTCCATGGCGAAGATGTACGGGCGAGGCCTGCAGCATTACCTGCTGACCCTGGCTTCCATCGCCAACCGGCTGTACAGCCACGCCAGCATCGAGAACCACATCCGCCTGGCTGTGGTGAAGGTGGTGGTGTTGGGAGACAAGGACAAGAGCCTGGAGGTGAGCAAGAACGCGGCTACCACGCTCAAGAGCTTCTGCAAATGGCAGCACCAGCACAACCAGCTGGGAGATGACCACGACGAGCACTACGATGCCGCCATCCTGTTCACTCGGGAGGTAGGTGCGCCCCGGCGGGCACGCCGGGCCCTGGGAGGCAGAAGGGACACACAAGGCACCTGCCGCGATGGATTTGTTTAAATGTATTTTGCAGGAACCTCAGCCAGTCTCTATGTCACTGCCTTTAGCCTCAGTAGGGATTTCTGCCTGAGTGACTACACTTCCTAGGCAATCAGCAGTTCATGATACTGGACGTCATCCCGTCTGAGATGGGATACCATGGGCACTTAAACCCGGGAAGAAAGCACTAGAGTGGTAGAAAATGTACATAGTTAAACGGGGAACAGGGAAAGCAAGATCACCTTTGGAACCATCAGTCTTCTACTTGCCAGTGAATCCAAAAGTAGGCCTCTGACCAACCTGATAGAAAGAGCTCAGTGGTTCCTCTGTGGTAGTCACTTTTATCTCATGACTTTCCTTTGTAAGTGTCCCTGTGTGAACCCCTTCTGCAGCACAACTGAAGGGAAGACTTTCCAAAGGGCTCCTCCTAATCTGGCTCTCTACTGGAGTTCTTACACATTCACCTTGGAATCTGGGTTCTGGGAAGGAAGGAAGGAAGGAATGTGGGAGGGCCAGAAGGATACAGAAGCCCAATCAGCTGACGGAACAAACTTCTGAGTTTTCTTAACAGGCCCTGCCCTAGTCAGTCAGTGCATCAGAGGCTCTGCCCTGGCCAGCTGGGCAGCCAAAGAAGGCCTGAATCCAGTTCCCAGGTCTGGGTTCTGGATGAATATGTTCCTGAAGCCCCGGTTCAGAGTAACTGGGCAAAGAGTCAGGACTCGAAGAAGGAATGCTTTCCCAGGATTTCCCCATTTTAAGGAAGATGGTAACAGGAAAGGAAAGACATGGGTCTTTCTAGTTCAGCAGCTCTGGGAGGAAGGAAATATCTATTTCTGCAGTTATTAGACCACCAAGTTAGAGTGATATTGAGGCAAAGTCCGGATTGGTTTGGAGCCTGGCTTGCCAGCAGTTCTGAGCCTCAGTTTTCAAAACTCTGCTTTGATTGGCAGTTTTAAACTGTGTCTCTCAAATGGCTGGGAAGAATCAGCTTCTAAAGCCATTCTTGAGGTGTTCGAGATCCATCCAGAATAGATGAAGGATTATAAACGTTGAAGTATTATGTAAAGACATGAAATGGAGCAAACAGGCAAGAATAGGAAATTAACGATACATTGCAGGAAACTTCAGAATCACACAGCTTCACTACTAATTTTTCTATTTTTTTAAGGTGCCCCTGGTATGAAGGAAAAGTGTTGATAAATTTGGAGTAGAGAAATGCTTGTGGTTCCTGACGTGGACATAGATGTAGACCACATGTAAACAAAGAAACCAGAGGAGCTGCCCTACAGAGAGAACCAGACCGTGCCCGGGGCAGGCACCATGGGAAATCTTTCTCCTCATTAAGTGATATTCTGGAAGCCATCCTTTAATTCCACTGCCCAATATTAGTCTTTGAAATGGTAGAGCATTCAGTGTGTAGCCTGCCCTGTGAAGTTCTCCTGTAAAACTATCCCTTTCTTATTTGGCTTCCAAGTCTTTTTTTTTTTTTTTTCTTTTCATAAGCAACTTTCCATGCCTGGGTTTCCTTGCTTTGCTAACATCACAAGAACCTGCCAAGAAGGAGGCTTTGGAGAGTTTATGGAATGAGGCACCCTAAAGAAAGAGGAAAAAATACTTTTGCAGCTATATCACTCCAAAGACTAGGTCATTTTAATAATTTGTTTTAATTTTTGAATAAAACCTATATTCTTCATGCTTCTAAAATAATAAAAATGAGAAGGCCCATCATTCATTGCCCTCTGACCCATAATTTTCCTAATTGTTTCCCAGCCGGAAAAAAAAAAAAAGGAAAAAAACTAGGCAGGGGATTCTAAATGGTGTCTGTTGCTTTTTCTGGATTTCTTTTTTGCTTGAGTAGTTAACAACTCCTATCTCCCAAACTGTGAAACTTACCAGCACACTTTAAATAGGTGAAAGCAAAGAAGAAATAAATTAATGGTGTATCATAATTTTAATAATTTTTGTAATAACATACTTTTTTCAAACTAATCTGCACATGGAAAATATTTTACATGGTCCCTTCCTGGACTCTTTGCCAAAGAGAAGCATAGTTTAGGTAGAGCAAATGTCATTTAGCCCAGAGTTGGCTTTCTGGTGTATAAATCTAATTTTATAAAAACTGAATATTTGAAAAACACTTGTATTATGAATATATGCATCTAATTTTAAAAATGTCAAGACCTTTATGAAGCATCCAATTGCAAAGTTAATCTCCTAATACTTAAGAACGTGAAAGAAAGTCAAGAAGACTAGAGGAGAGATTATCTGAATGCTTCAATCTCATGGAAACCAGATATCTTCAGGCTTAAAGAAAAACTTTCATAGCTATTTCTTTTCAATGAGAAATAACCAGAGTTGGCACCAGGATTCTACTTTTACTACTCTGTTTTGAATGTAAGAAGTGTGTTGCTTAGCAGCGAGATGCTAAACCATCAAATCCATGTTTTGATGGGCTCAGAGTCCTCTTCAAATTTTGAGTCCAGATGTCTTCTCCTAAATTGCTTGTTTTTCAGACATGAAGCGAATGTCTGAGGACATGTTCTCCACCCCTGTTTACCAGCCCAGGCCACCTTAAACTATATACCTGGGCATCAGCAAATAGTGTTCAGATGCACCTGTCAATTAATACAGTACACTGTCAGGACTGTAACCCAACACTTCAGTACTGCTCTAATTAGAGAACTTAACAGCCCTGGATTTTCTGGCAGAGGAGCCATTTTCACTGTGGAATGGCACTTATGCTGGAATTCACACCATTTATGCCATCAAAAGTAGAAATTCTCTGGGTCTCTTTGGGTTTATTTTTGGCATTCCAGAGTCCTTTCTTGTTTCTGATTTTCTCCTTAAACCCATGTGCAGATTGATCACGCTTCCTAAGAAACAAAACCCTGGCTGATAACAAAATTGAAAACTGTTGAAGATCTCCCTGCAAACCAGAGAAAGCTTTACCCTTTCAAGCTTTGAAAGCATTAGTTTGAGTTGAACCACCTAAGTGGCTGTCCAATATGTTTCATTCACTTTTATTAGCTGTCGATGTACCATTTAATAGGCTACTGTCCCCCAGCTAAAACCTCTTCTATTCTGCCTTTGAGGCTGGAATTTTAAGGCATTTCTTCTTTACTGCCTGGTTTCTTCTTATGTCCTGACAATAGAGGGGGCACTAGAGGGAGACATAAAGCTTGGGAGAAAGGGATGTGCTTTTTCTTATTGGCTTGCTGATTAGACCAACTAACTTAGTCATATTTGAGTTCAAATTCATTTAAAAGTGAACCTTTATCAAGAAATCATAGGCTACAGATACATCTTAATGGATAAAAGTCTAAATAACTCAAAAACAGGGAGATTGTGAGCAAGTTGAGGCACTCTGGTTGTTACTTTTAAAATAAAATGAGAAATAGTTCTGAAAAATCTGGTCTGTGAGAGGCAATATACCACAATACACAGGACCTATGACACTGTTGTGCTTCTCACATTTGCTGGACAGCTATGTATACCACCTATGTGTGAGAGACTCATTTAGGAAGCTGAAGGTAACAAAGTGGAAAATACCTGGTCCCGCCCACCAAGCTTATCAGCAGCAGAGAGGAAACAGACACGTGCATAAATCATTCTAGTATTAGGAAAACTGGTAAATGCTGTGACTGACGTATAAACGGTGCCTGTGAAAGGAAAGAGAACACTTCTACATATGGGTCGTCACACAGGTCTGATTGCAAATGGAGAGCTGAATTGGGAATTGGTTGGTCCTCAGAGAAATGACAGATCTGATTTAGATTCAACCACCTGTTGTTAAGCATTTTTATATGTGCTATCTATGAGCGTAAACCATTTTATAATTTTTCCTTTCAGCAATCTGCAACCCTTATAGTATTTTTAAAATTTTACAGATGAGAAACTTGTGTGCAGAGGAACAAAGATAATCTCAGAGGAATGGCTTACAAATGGCGGAAAGAAAGATAGTCCTGGCTAGTGCTCTCAACACTAAAAATAATTTATTGAAACATTCAATATGCCTTAGGCACACAAAGATTCAGAGGTTTAAAGTTGACACCTTTCTTAAGAATCTATTCCAGGAAATAGACAAAGAAATGGGTTACTTTGGTTTAAGATGATGACTTTTATGATACTTAGATGTGGTTGTCAGACATGATAGAAGGATATTGTGAAGAAAGAGTAGGAGTGAGCTTGACCATGAGGAGGTACGCGCCATAGACACACCATTGATACACCAGACCAACACATGTAATCGTGATGATTCTAGGAGGTAACACAACAGGAAAATGAGGGTGGTATGGTGATGAATTGGTTGGAGAAGACATTAATAAGCAGATTACAGAAGAAATGGCGCATCATGAGTGCTCGTCATAGAATGGGTGGCTTTTAGAGAAACATATTTTCATTTAGTGTTAGGCTGAAAATTTGAAGATCAAAGTTCTAGCCTATTCAATGAGGCCTCATTTTTGCCTTTTTCCCTTTTTTCCTAGATATCTTTACTGTTCCCTCACATGGCCTTTCCTAAATATGTGCACTCAGAGTGAGGAGGGGCAGACAGAGAGATAGATAGAGACAGAAAATTGCTTTAATGCACCAATCCTGTCTGATCTGGGCTTCGTGATTATGATCTCATTTAACCTTATTTACTCTCTCACAGATCCTTTCTTCAAATACAGTCACATTCCGGGTTAGGGATTCAGTTTAGCAATTTAGGAAAACACAATTCAGTCTATAACACCATGCTAAGAAGTTAACATTGTAAACTAAGTGCAGGTGGTAAGAACAGCAGTGATCAGAAGGTGTGTTCTCTAAAGAGCTTTTGGCCTAAGTGGCTGCACTGGATCCTATGGGATCCAGGCTTTTCCAATAATCCAAACTGCAGAGGAGCCTCAAAATGGTCTCAACTAAAGCAGGTGCACTGGGAGGTGAGAGGCATGGCCCAGTAA